TTCTTCGAAAAAAAAACACCTCGAGCGAGCGTATCAACTTTTATGCGAATTAGAGGAAGTTTTTTCGAATCATGCTATTTCCATCCACCTTTTCTGATGCAATACTTCAAAATGTATGTTAGACATCTAACCACTGCCAGATAATTGATCCAATGTTCTTTCTCTTCGCAACTAATTTATCTGAGTTGTTTTCAGTTTTAGTTTCATTCACATGCTCACCCGAAACTCTTGCTGCCGCCATGTTTTCCCTACGCACACATGCTCCTCTCTCTGTGTCCAGAGGGGAGGGGGCTAGTGATGCCTTCGAGTGTGTCGGAAAAGGGAAACTTGCCGGAGCGCAGCTTATAGTTTGCATGATAATTTATACTTGATGGTTACGATAAAGCCATTTTAACCATCCTACATTGAAAAACTCAGGGTGCATCGAGTATATTCTATACATTGCCCACCCCTATACCATAGCCGATCTTCTTCATGTCCTCAGAGTTGTAGAGGCCCTGTAGGTCTCATATTTAAAATCTTCAGAGCCAACAAGTGCCTGTCCCTCCAAGCCTGTCTAAGGGACTTTGACAGTGCCTCTCCAAATGCTTGGTGGAACCTGACTGCCTCCATAAGGTCAGGGTTAGTGGAAACGTAGCGCTGGAGGGTGTCATACAACTACATAAGAGAATATAAAAAAATTAATGAATAGAAAAAATAATGAATGCGTATAACAGATTAAATGCTACCTCGTTGGCCATGAGATGATACTGAGCCATGGGCACTCTACAACAGCCAATGAAAGGTCCTCCCCTGGTACTTCTTAAACTGCAGGGCACACCTGCTGAGGATGAGAATGGGGTTTAGAGATGTCCCCACCCTCTCTAATAATGTGGGCTCGAGCATTTGCCCCCACCTCCTCCACTGGTTTCGCCCCTAGGCAACTTTATGGACTCCCAGACCCTGAGAAATCAGAGTGGGCAGCCTAGGCCGTAAGGGCTAATGCAACCACGCTAAACCCGGGTTTGAAGTTGGGCCGGGCCTTGCAGTGCAAAGAGGCCTTTAATTACCATGGTGATCTAACCAGACTCAACAATTTAAAGGGTATAAAGTTTCACACTGATCTTTGTTCCAGGTCCAGAGAGGGAGGTGTCCAAGGTAGACGGATGAGTTATGATGAGGATCCTATTGAGTAGGCTACGATGGAGAACCCGGACGACGCAAGAGTGGCTCAGGCAAAGGTGCGTTTCACCTTTACATACATTACAATCACCAAGTGACATTTAATGGTCCAATGAGGAGTAGTGGTGCTGCTCTGCCTTTTAAATGATGTTCCAGTCAGCTGGTTCTGCTGCCAGCTGATTGGGTACCTCAGCCACACCCTTTCAGAACTTGCCCTAAAGGTTGTTAGGTTGTTTTGTAGCTCTAAACTTGTGTTTCTTAAAAGAGGTATTTAGAGGATGCCAGGGGGCACCGGAAGCAATATTTACCAAAGTGGGGTGCTGTGGTTTTTTGGGGTGGGGCATTTGCTTGAAGATGACGGTTACACCAAAGATGCAAATACGTATAACCCAGGTAAAAAGCACTCAATATAAAGCTAATGAGAGGGAAAGGGTTTACTTTTGTCATTTTTATTGTTTGTATTGCCTAAGTTAAAATATCCTAATGCACCACTCAGTTCACACAGCCCATGTGGACAGTAACTAGCCAAACAGCTAGGGCGCAACGCTGACCATGTTCAGCTTGTCAGTTCAGAGGTAAAGTTTGAGTGTTTTTTATTCGGACTTTAGAGATGAGAGAGGATCACCACCTGTAAAGGCGATGGAGAAAAAAGAGTAAAGAATCACAGAACTTGACAATAAAAGCATAGTAAAGCCAGCTTAGCTACATGTTAGGAGTTTGAAGCTGAATGATTCAACATTTGAGACAAAGGACATCGACTACAACTACCTCCCTTCCTTGGAGCTGCGAGAGCCAAAATCAATGAGTGCCACCACTGAACACAGGGCAACGGTGAGAAATGGGCTCTTTCTGTTTTGTGTGGTTTTGCTGTTACAAATTGTCAGTACAGAACTTATGAAAGTGAACTGAGGTGAATATGGCGGCAGGTGCGGCAGGTGTGGCGGTGCGTACTGGAGGTTCTCAAACTAAATCTGAGATTTTTATATATAAAACAGCAGATGGGACAGTGATCATAGAGGATGAGCTTTTAAACTTTATCTAACTGAATGGATTGAAGAGTCCAAGCGTTTGTTGTTTGAGTTTTGCTCAACGTCAGTGCGCTGCATCAGGCATAAAGGCCCTCAAAAGGACACTAATAACATTAAAGACTGCCTGAAGGTGCTCAATGAATGTGGAGAGAACATTCCCAGGTTTGTTTCTCATTACCTGGATGAGCTACCACCTGTCGGATTTGGCAGCATGGATGCGTCAGCCCTTCTTAGCCGAATGGAGCGGCTGAGCAGGGACGTATTGAGCCTCAAAGAAACTATGGAAACCCAAGCAAGCGTGAATGAAAACCTTGCAGCAAGTACAGCWGSTATGAATCGCCGGTTGGCTGCTGTTGAGAATCTTTGCAGCTCATCCGAGCGGACGGGCGAAGTGGCGGCCCCAGCGCAGGGAACCGCAGCGGCGCTAGCTCCGGAGCTATCGGGAAAGAGTGAGGACGYGCCGTCCGAGTCCCAAGCATGGAGCACCGTTGTGAGGAGGGCGGCTCGAAAGCAGAAGCGGCCTMAAGACGCAGTGATCCAGAACGGCAGAGGAGTGGACGCGCGTYCCAACAAGGAGCAGCGGAGAAACGTTGGGATAATTGGCACTGGAGCCGAGGACAACATTCCAGTGATTAGAACCAAACTGGTGAGTGTGTTTGCAACTCGGTTCTCCCCTGAGCTTGATGCTGGAACACTATCTTCCTATCTCTCTGGAAAATTGGGGAAACATGTGAAATGTCGGAGGATTGACTCCAGTCATAAGAGATTTAGCTCTTTCCAGGTCACGGCAGAGTGYAACGAAGTGTCTGAAATGTACGACCCACAACTCTGGCCAGCGGGCACTTATGTCCGCCGCTATTTTGAGGCGCGTAAACCCAGAGCTAAAACGGACAGTGTGGCCTCCGGACCAGGGAGTGAGGCTGAGTTACAACGCTACGTGCCTGCGATTACATCTGGCGCTCCACGAGAGGAATCGTGTTCTAGCACGGAAATCCGTCATACATAAATGAACATTAATATAGTATCATACAATGTGCGTGGATTGCGTGTGGGACATACAGAGGCGGACAAATCAAGTCGTCTTGTGGTGGATAAACTACTGGAAATGTGTGACGTACTGTGCGTCCAAGAAACTTTCCTACCCAAGCAGGACCTAGAAAGACTCAACTCCCTGCATAAAAATTTTTACGGTGCAGGTGAATCTACCACTGACTATAGCACCAAGTTAGTGCGGGGCAGAATTTCCGGTGGTGTTGCAGTGCTGTGGCATAAAAG